TTGTTGATAAATGTGTAGTTATTCCTATTTTATTATTCATATTTTTATTTCCCCCCCCCAACATTTCTTGTGTACTGGTTTGGTGGTTATGAACTCTAGCTTTTTCTTGTCTGGGAAGCTCTTTATCTCTTCTTAAATTTTAAATGATACCTTTACTAAGTACAGTAGTCTTGGTTGTAGGTCCTTTCTTTTTATTACTTTGCATATTTCAAGCCAATCCCTTCTGGTCTGCAAAATTTATGTTGAGAAATCAGCTGACAGTCTTATGGGAGCTCCCTTGCAGATAACTAACTGCTTTTCTCTTGCTGCTTTTAAGATTCTCTTTATAACCTTTGACATTTTAATTATGATGTGTCTTGGTGCGGGCCTCTTTGGGTTCATCTTGTTTGGGACTTTGTGTGCTTCCAGGGTTTATATGTCTATTTCCTCTGCCAGGTTAGGGAAGTTTTTTGTCATTATTTCTTCAAATAGATTTTCAATTCCTTGTTTTCTCTCTCCTCCTTCTGGTACCCCTATGATGTGAATATTGCCATGCTTGATGTTGTCCCAGAGGCCCCTTAAATTATCTTCATTTTTCTGGATTATTTTTTCTTTTTGCTGTTCTGAGTGGGTGTTTTCTACTACCTTAACTTCCAAATTGCCGATTCAAATGTCTGCTTCATCTAATCTACTGTTGATTCCCTCTAATATATTCTTTGCTTCAGCTATTGTATTCTTCATTTCTGACTGTTCTTTTTTATGTTTTCTATCTCCATTTGTATGTTTTCTATCTCTTTGTTGAGGTTCTCCCTGAGGTCATTGAGCATCCTTACAACCAGTGTTTTGAACTCTGCATCTAATAGATTGCTTGTTTCCATTTTGTTTAGTTCTTTTTCTGGAACTTTTTTCTCTTCTTTCATTTGGGACATGTTTTCTTGTCTCCCCATTTTGGCTGCCTCCCTGTGTTTGTTTCTATGTGTTAGGTAGAGCTGTTATGTCTCTTGGTCTTAGTAGAGTGGCCTTATGTCATAGGTGTCTTATGGGGCCTAGTGGCACAGTCTCCCTGGTCATGTGAGCTGGGTACTCCAGGTGTCCCTTGTGTGGGCTGTGTGTGCCCTCCTGTTGTAGTTGAGCCTTGGTTTCTATTTGCAGCTCAATGGGAGAGATTGACCCTCTTGCTGATTGATTATGAGGACTGGCCATGATTACAGTGGAGGAGCTGCTGTGCAGGGGCTGACACTATGGAGCAGGATTCACTTTAGCAGGGCTCTGGTGCCTGCCCAGTTGGCCCTTTGGGTGTGACACCTGCAGCCAGCTGGGTGGTGCTCTTGCATGGTCCAAGGCTGGCCACTGGGTGTGCTGTCACTGGGGCCTCCTGGGTGGGGCCTGCCACATGCCAACTTCAGCCGTTGCCTATGCCCTGCCCCGGGGCCACCTGGCATGAGTCACAAGGTGATCTACAGATGTCTTCTACTCACACTGGGGTTGGAGGTACCTGGGAGAGGCTAAGATGTGAATTGAGGCTGGCTGCCGCTAGTGCCAGGCTTAGGACTGCTCAGCAAGAGGTACGGGGTACACCAAGGCCAGATGCTGCTTGTCTGAGGATTCTAAACCTTTGAGATATTTTAGTAAAGTCCACAGCATGAGCCAAGACAGACCGTTTATATGGGAAAGCCACTGGAAGCGGCTTGGGTGGGCCCACAATTTGGGTGGGGTAACAGTGTTAGCTAGATTGATGGAGACTCTGATATGGCAAACACCTGTGTCTGCACTCTGAAAGGGTAGAGAGCTCAACAAAGGAACTATGGCTTCCGCCGCAGTTTTACCCAGGAGAAAGCTGCCTCTCTAGTCCTCACCCTGCAGCCAGACAACTCATTTCCTCCCCGTATGTCCCTGGCGCCTTTCAAGCTGCTGCCCCAGCACTGGAGCGCAGACAAGTGAGTCTGTCAGCAAGTGCTGACATCTGTGCTCAGGCCCTTTAAGAGGCCTGAGACTCCAGCCACCCTCTCTCTCACTCAGCCACAATCTCCACTGGTTTTCACCGCCAGAAGTTGTGGGGACTTCTCTTCCCGGCACTGGAGCCCTGGGCTGGGGACCCTGGTGTGGTGCTGGGACCCCTCGCTCCTTCGGGAGGACTTCTGCAGCCGAGATATCCCTCCCAACTTTTACCCGCCACAGGTGAGTATGGGGACTGGCTGTTCACATCTCCCCCCTCCACGTCCTACCAGCTTCCATGTAGCTTCTTCTGAAGGTCTGTAGTTATAGGACTTTGGTTCAGCTAGACTTCAGGCGATTCTCAATGATGGTTGTTCTGCAGTTTAGTTGTAATTTTGATGTGATTGTGAGAGTAGGCAAACACAGTATTTATCTACACCACCATCTTGACTGAAAATCTAAGATAAGGTTTTTTTGTGTGTGTATACAAGTACAGTGATATTTAGTTCATAGATTTGTCATCATTGTCATCATCATCTTTATTATCATGATCATGCTGATCATTATCATTATTTGTAATGATCATTATTTGTAAATGACATTACAAATAATCATAGTTGTCACCATTATGTGATGTTTTTGTGTATTTTCCATTTGATATTAATTTCTATTGCTTTTTTAAATAATGATCATTATTTGTAATGATCATTATTTGTAAATGACATTAAAAATAATCATAGTTGTCACCATTATGTAATGTTTTTGTGTGTTTTCCATTTGATATTCATTTCTATTGATTTTTAAAAAAAGAGATTATATAAATGTTATCTATTATGTAAATATGGGGGTTTATTTTAGCTATACCAGACAGAAAGTCAGAAAAATAAAATAAAGATGATTTAGGCAAAAGATTTATAACATTCACAGAGACAGTGGCAGAGGTATTTATAATCACAGTCACACAAGAAAATTAAGAGTAAGATGGACCATAAAAATGAAAACTGTAGAATAGAGTGAGAAGAAATTGAATAAAGGCAAAGAGATTTAGAGACTTAAAAGGGAGGCTGGGAACTATTGCTTTGATATAGAATGTGATGGAACCAAATAAGAATACAATAAAAATAAATAGGCTGAAAAATGAGACATTCTAGGGAATTCAGATAAGAAATTTTGGGTTGTTGGGTGTGAGGATGTTTGGAAATGCATGTGTCTTCTTCCAATTTCATGCATGCAAGAACACAGACAGAAAACTAAAACGAAAAAACGCAGGGCTTTTAGTGGGGGGCTATAAGGGTGTTACCTCATTATTATCCTGAAAGAGTCTCAACTTTCCATGCTCTTTAGTTTTTCTTTTGTTTTATAATGGAATTTAAGTAAACTGCCTCATAGTTCCATTAAGTTTTGGGAAAAAACAATATTTTCCTTTTCTCTCTGTCATAGATTTATGGTGACTAAGCTTGGACTTCTCTGTGTGTTTGGACCATTGTCATACACAGCTTCCTGTGTGAGGAAGTCTAAAATTCACTCTCGAGTAAGAAGGCCTAGGTTCAAACCCTGATTCTGTATGCTACAAGAAGTGTCACTTTTAGATTATATAAGCTTCTGTTTCCTTATCTGTAAAATTGGGAAAAACAATTGTACCTAACTCAGAGGTTTAAGATATGAGATAAGCATAGTGAATGGAACGTTGTAAATGTTCAGCAGCTGATATCATTTCTTTAATATGAACCATCCTTCAGCCATCATCTCAGTCTTTATCTACCTGTTGCTTTGCTTAATGTATTTTACTGAGCATTTTACTGAGTATTTTTCTGAGAAAGTTCACACTGCCTAACCAAGTGTTAACTTTTTTCTGGCCGTGATGGGGGCATTTACTTGTTTTGCTGGCTTAGAAATATAAATAAATAATGGTAGTGCATATTTGTGATGATATTAAAATTACAGTGACACAGAAAATACATGGTTTGGAACTGCCTAGAAACCAATCACTGTGACTCCAGCAAGAAGTTTGGAGTGTTACATAGTTTGAGGATGAACGACGCAGGGATGCAGGGCAGACAGGGGCAGAGAATATGCCTCGGGGAGTCTTCTCAGCCTAACTGGATACTGCTCTAATGTTTGAAAATAAGACGAGCACATTCAAGACATGGGTAATTTACAGGGCTGCATGCAGAGTTGTTGGGCTCATAGCTTAATGGAGTTATTGTCTCTTCATTGTTCTTTAGATCACCAAGTTAATAAAACAAGTGCAGACTGATGTGGCTTCTGTGGTTGCTAACACTTAATTTGAGAGACATTTATTAAGAGAGTTGTTTTGAGATAGAAAGAGAAAGAGATATTTCTTAAAGGTTAGGATCATGTTTTCTCCTAATATGGATTGTGCATCATGGTCTTTTACAACTGCAATACTGTAGTTTTTTACTCATAGAAAATGGAAATCTTGTTTTAAAAAGATTACTAAATTGCTTAGATTTATTTTTTTTTTTAGGTACAAAAATGATACATTGAATTTCATCATAAGGGAACTTCAGAATCATTCTTTTATTCTATCTGATCTCCCTTGTCAATAGATCTGTAATGTAAACAGTCTTCATGTGTAGTCTCTGCTAGTCCAGAATCAAGATATATCGATTCTACTGCACTTCTCAGAGCATTACATGGCAGAGACATCAAATTAGTGTATATATTATTTTTTTCACTTTAACTTTAGTTAAAGTCTCACCAAAATTTTTGTTCTTTATCTTAGCTACATTCAATAAAAACATAACCAAAGAAAGGCAGCTACCAAATCCCTAATGCCTACTGTTTGCTTTTTATTTTCTAATAGAAATATTCATAATAAAATCAGAATTAGAACATAGATGTGTCACCCAGAAATCTCTCAGCAGTATCTGTAGCTTCTCAAACTATGTATCAAGTAAATAGTCTTGGGTGATATTTAATATATCTTAAGGAATCTGAAGAATTTCTTTACCTTAAGCAATTTTAGTAAATGTGATTTTGTGTGTCTTTGTGGTTAGGATGTTCTCAGTGGTCTCAAAGGCAATCTTGAGTTTCTCATTCATCCTCTTGTAATAAAATGGCAGGCATTTCGGGAGATGAGAGGCAGAGTGCCCACTCAGAAACACCACCCCACCCATCAGGAATAGCACCCAAATTCAGGATCTCAGCGATTCCATACAAACAATGACATTGAAAAGAAGTCAGTGCTGCAGAGGAGACCTGGATCCACGGAGACATGCAAGATGCCTACATTCAGAGAAAGGTAAGTCTGTGATTTATAACGCATGTTCTTTCTTGTCTTCTTTGCAAAATTTTAAATGATATTAGAATTCACTCAACTGCTCTCCTCCTCCAAGGCTGAATCATCACTAATGTTTACCAAAGAAAAATAGATTCTATCTTCTGGTCTTAAGAAAGATTAAGTTTTTTTTTTTCTCTCAGTCTCATGAAAAAGGTTAATTATCGGAATGGAGAGATTAGATGGCTTAAATCCATTTTTGGAAATTGAGTTTTATCTTGGGATCTTGCCCTTCTTGTTCTCCAACTGGCTATTTGATCTTGGTCATTTTTTAAATATCTCTCCACTAGTTTCCTGATCTATAAAACTGAGATGGTAATAATAATAGTACCCATAAGCACTTGATAGTCATTAGATAGTAACGTAAGTATTGTTTTAAATGGGTATGCTGGGTGTACTTTAAATAGATATACTTTCTACTTGATGACTTCCAGGTACAAAATGGCTATGTCTGGTAGGTAAAGGACAGTGACATTAACATCAGACACTGTTGGGCCTGGGATTGAACTTGGTGCTGAAAAAAGTGAAAACATAGTTCTGACTTTAGACACCTTAATATTTTGTTTTGTGCATAAAAATATACAGTAACAAAGTTGTGTTTAGTTGTAAAAATTAATTGATCTGTATACTTAAGATATGTGTACTTTTAATTCATATTTTAATAAATAAAAAGTTATAACAAAAGAATAAACAGTTGCTATGGCAATCCTATACTGTGGAGTATGAAAAAACAAAGACTTTTATTGTTTAGTTGAAATTAGTAGTTAGAATTAATAGCTTTCCTTTCTTGGCGGGAACTATTGCACTGGTTATAAAGTAGAAATCATCACGAATCATCACTAACCTGGTTACCTTTCTAGAACTGGACTTGGTTCTTAAACTGAAGGAAAGCCCATGCCTACTATAGGACAACTAAAACAGTTGGCTTGCTCTGTGTCTCTGCACTGATTGGACATGGCCTCTCAGCATGTTTCAAGGAAATAAGTCTTACAGAGGAGTCTGCTAAAGCAATCTGTGACCCACCCAAAGCAAGACATTTTCCCTCTAACTCTAGCAGGGACTTCCTGGGATAGAATGACTGCTCCTACTCTTACATGTCTGTCCCTGAACCAATCATCAAGCAGAGTGGGATGGAGCTCTCATTGCCTGGCTTATAATATCATGGGGAGCGAACACTGTGGCTTACGGTCTCCAAGACAGCTTTGGAGGAGGTTGGTTCCTTGAAGGGAATTAAGCTAGGCAGACAACTCATGCCTGTTTGCATAGTATGTAAATAAGTTTGGACATTCTCCTGCTTGATCAAAATTTCAAAGTAGAGACAGGGGCACTGACTTAAAGATAATTGCTATCATTTAGGTAAACCACTCAGGACAATAGCTAGGGAGAAGAAAGGACGTGATAAGAAGGGATCTGATATTAGGATGTAGTGTCCATAGAAATGATTGACTCTTTAGATGCAGAGGGCCAATGAACTAGAGCGAGGAATCTAGGGTGGCTCCCAGATAGGCGCTTGAGTGACTCGGATGATGATGGTGGCGTTTCTATTAAAAAAGGAGACAGAAAGAGAAAGTTAAGTTGAGGCAGAAAGGAAGATAATAACTTTTTTTTAATTAAAGTTTATTGGGGTGACAATTGTTAGTTTTGGACATGCTGAGCTGTAGAAAATAATAATGAGTTGGAAAAATATAAGTAAAACCATATTATAAAGTTTTAAAATTACCACATTTTTCTCCCAAATCCAAGATTTACATAATTGAAAACATCTACAGAGTGAAAAGAAAGGAGAGAGAATAGTTCAGTAACCAAGTTTCTTCTGGCAAAATAAGCTCATTGTGCACTCTGTTATATTTGGGTAACTGAAGCAGCTTTGGCCTTCTATTTATAACATCTTTGTCCCAATGCATTTTATTATTACTAAGAATAGCTCTTTAAAGAATATCACTCTTCTTATTTAAAAGTAATTCATACCTGTTAGACATAATTTAAGAAAGAAAAAAATGAAACAATGTATCATGTACAATAATAAACATTTTGACACGGTCCTTCTTGACACGGTCCTTCCTTCCTAAAATGTGTTCAGTTATTATAAATAACATTTGTCATTATAAAAGAAATAGCCTAACAATACAGAAAAAGAGTTAAGATCACTTAAACCTTACTACCTTGAGATAGCCACTGTCAGTATTTTGACTGTTTCATGCTCATCTCATACACACACATAGATGCAGATTTATTTAAATTAAGTCATATCATATATACCCTTTTTATCATAGATATCCCTGTACTCTTTTTTTTTTTTTTTCAGCTGAGCAATCCTGCCACCTGTTAGCAGCTCAGCGGCTGCTCAGCTCGGGCTGGACTCGAACCGCTGTTGCTCAGAGCTCAAACTCTTGAGCAAGCTCTTAACCAACTGAGCCACTTGGCCATCCCTTGCCTGTACTCTTAAAACTGTCTTATTATTTACTTATATTTTTCCTTGTCTCCTTCCTTTTCTTTATTCCTTTCTTTTCTTTTTTTTTTTTTTGAAAAACACTAGGGTGATGAATTTATTATTCAGAGCAGAAGTTGGTAAAGTCTGATTTTGTTACATGAGAGGACATTGAAATTAGGATGTCCTTTATTTTCTTTATTCACTCTCCAAAACAATTTATGTTAGTGATATATATATATATATTATATATACATATATATATATATTTATATATATTTAGTAAATTATATATTCACATATTTTATATGTGAATATGTAATATATGCATACAAAACTATGGCAGAATTGGTCATTGTTTTAAAATTATTTTTAGAAACTAGGGTCATATTATATATACTTTTCTGTATCTGGTTTTCCCCCTTAACAATATATTGTAAAAATCCCCCCAAGCTAGTTGCTTTATGTATCATGTAAGAATGTCGCATTTACTTGAGAATAAGTTTCCTAAGAGCAGGAACAGTGTCATATTTGTTTACTGTAAAACCTCATATCTCACAACACACAGCAGGGGCTTAAGAATGAATATGCTGATATTATCAATAGTTTGAAGCCAGGCTACTGGGAATGAAAATTTTTGGCTGAGCAATTTGTCAAAGCTCGTTTATGCAAAGCATAAAGTGACAGAACTCAACACGCTGTGTGGTTGATAATATTATTGTTCCCCTTTCACATACAAAGAAAATGAGGTACATAGACTTAAAATAACTTTTCTGAGAGCACAAAACCTGTGCACTGTAAGGCACTCCACCCCAGTCTCAGAAATACTTCCCAAATGTGTTATCCCTGTATTCTGTAAAGCAAATGGCGGCCATGATAAAATCAACGTGTCCCACTTGGATAAGAGTTTCAATCTTGAAGACTCTTACCGTATCCTCTTCCTGGAGCTTTTCATGCAATGGCCAGCTTTCCTCTTTAGAGGGTTTCAACAGTGAGTAGTGCACATGAATTTTCACATTCCACTTACGGAGGAGAAGGATGAGATGCAATGAGGTTAAGTTATGTTATCAAATGACATACAAAAAGTCAGTAAAGGAGAGACAGAGAAACCAGTCCTGTTGATTCCCAGGCTAGAATTCTGCCTCCCAAGAAAAACCTGAATTCTGGAAAGCCCCGGTCAGCTTGTTTTGTTACAAAAGCGAACCTCAGCACTAGGTTAATTTATGGCTTCAAGGAGAAGAAAAGCAGGAAATGTGGTGCTTCATTTGGAGCTGGGAACGCACAGCCAGGCTGTGTCTCTCCTGAGCGGCATGAGCTATGCTAGGGCCTGCATCAGAACCTCCCAGGGAGCTGGTTGAAAGGCAGAGCCTGGGTCCACCCATGAATCAGTTCCTGGGGGCAGGAGCCTGGAATATGGGGGATGGACTCTATGGGGTTCACTTTTAATAAGCATGTCAGATAACTTGTATGCACACTAACATTTAAGAACAGCCATTAAGTCCTTCAAAGGACACTCTTGGGTATCTTGGCTTAGTGGAAAGGCAGCCACTTATTGGGGGCTTTTGGGGAATTTACTTACATGCCCGAATTCTTGGTTTCACATCTACAAAATAGCACTTATTAACCAATAGAGTTATCATAATAATTAAAAGTAATAGATGTAAAGAGTCTGACACCCAATAATTAACTATCAGTTAAGCCTAAATTAATCATCATAGGAACAAAAACTTGTGAGGATATTTTAGAAAACTTGAATCTGATGAACTTTGTGTGACTTTCAGTTTGGAAAGAATCTTGAAGAAAGGAAGTTAGGAATCCAGTGATACATAGTGAATAACCCCAAATGAAGGTCATTTTAAAACTCCATACAATGTACAACATAGTGATTATACATTTATATACCTTACAAAGTGATCACCCTGATTAGTCTAGTACACACCTGGTACCATACATAGTTATTACAATATTATTGACTATATTCCCTGTGCTGTACTTTACATCCCCATGACTATTTTTATAACTGGCAATTAATCCCTTCCACCTTTTTTTACCCATTCTCCCAACCCCTCTCCCATTTGGTGACCATCAATTTATTCTCTATCTATGATTTTGTGTTTTGTTTGTTCATTTATTTTGTTTTTTAGATTTTATAAGTGAAATCCTATGGTATTTGTCCTATGGTATCTGTCTGACTTAGTGTATGTCGACCGTAATTGGAAAATAAATTAATTAAAAAAGAAAACCAAAACAAAATAGATATGTATTGCTAAAAGATAAAGGATTTTAGAAAAGATACTCCTAATGCCATTATACATGTAAAAATAAATAATCCCTTAATAACATCAAATATACAGTTCTGTGATTGCCTCATGAATATTTCTTTTTTATTTTTAGAAAGTTATATTTTTACTTATTTGCTCCAGTATCCAAATAAAGCCCATGCATTATGTATTGTGACTTGTCAAAAAACAAACAAACAAAACAGTCATACAAAGCATTTCACTCCCTCCTGGCATTCTCTAGGAGCAGATGCATG